ATCCAGGGCCTTCTGGGCACTCTGCGTCCCGCCCCCCAGCAGTCAAACTTCCCCATTCTGCCCTCTGGGGCTTGTGTCTCCTGCTTCTCTGCCCGTTGTCCCTGACCTCCTGTCCCTCAGCCCACATGCCAACCACCTAGACCCACTGGCACTTTCCTGCCATCCTCACACCCTCCAGTCTTTCCTCCAGCCACGCCATTCCTCCAGCCATGCCACCCTCCAGCCACGCCATTCCTTCTGTTCAGAGCATGCTCGCCAGTCCACTGCCTGCCTCTCCCACAGGCCTGAGTCTGGCCACCCCGCCAGCCACAGCACTAACGGCACCTCCTCCAGGAGGTCCTCCTCTCTCAGCCGGCACACCCGTCTCCCCACCCCTTCTTCCTCCTGCACCTCCATGTGGTGAGACACAGACCCGCTGGGGAAACGAGGAAAAAGGGACACATGTCCAGCGTCTCGTCTCTCTCCTCACAGCACCCAGCCCTTTTTCTAATCACGGTGGGTATTGAGGCCACCCCCAGTGGCCAGCTTCAATCATGCTGGGCAGTGCAATCCAGTCCCTTTCCAGGAAGAGGGTGCCCACAGGAGTAGGCCATAGTGGAATCCCTCTGGCGACCTGGAAAAATGCACTACTTGGAGGGCAAAGTGGCTCCAGAGAGCAGGAGGCAGTTCTGGTGACTTTCTCTGCTAGACAAGGGACAGGCTTCTCCCAGTTTAACCCCTGTGACCTTTGAACTTGCCGGGAGGTCAGCAGCACGTCCCCTTCCCCAGCTGTCTCTCTGTCTCTGGCCCGATGGGAGGGAGGGCCCTGGGCCCGTTCCATTTTGCGCCCGTATTGATCTCTTGGCAGCAATGGGCTGGATAATTAGCCAGGAATTAGGGTTTCTATTACAGCCAGGAGGCTGCTCCAGCTGATTTATCACCTGAATAATTTACTGTGATTGAAAGGAAATTAAAATGAACTCCATTTGACAACTGTGAGCTTTTATGGGCTTTAGTGAAGGCTCAAAAGCCAGATTAATAGCCTTGTGTTGGTTAATAGTCTGCTGGGAGTAAACACGGCGGGCTGTGCTCAGAGGCTTCCCACAGTGGCCGGAGGAGGGACCTCTCCACGGCAGCACCCACGACGGTGTCAACACGAGTTTTACTGAAGCAGATGCCACTGCGGGCCGAGCGCACGCACGCACACGCACCTCACCACGGGTGCTTATTTCTTCTTCATTGCTTTTTTTTTCCTCTTCTGCTCCTTCAAGGTGATTTTTACTCACTCCACATGTAGGAAAAACAGAATTGCTTTTTCAATAGCCATTTCGAAAAGGAAGTGTTTCATTGTCCTAGGAGCGGGGCTCCATTAACCCCTTCCACCAGGGCACAGGGTTTACTAAGTTTCCCTGCTCAAGCCCAAGACAGAACTTGGCAGAAAAAGCAGCACGAGGTGGTGGGGACCTCTGCACTCATGACCACTGGCAGGACTCCAGCCTGACTCTCTCCGGGACGCTCCTCCCAGCAGTCCCAGGAAGGGTGAGGGACTTGGCAGGCTGTGACCTCTCCAAACCAATGAGAGACTGAGGGTTCCAGAAGGACAGCAGCCTCTAGCTGAGAAGGATGGTCAGAGAGCTTCTCTTCAGGCTGCTGGGGCCATGAAGGCCCATGGAGCCATCTTGTGTAACACGGGATAGAAAGATCCTGAGTTCTGATTCCAGCGCCATGGCCTGGACCATCCAGGAAACTTCCTGGGCCTTAAAATAAAGGGAAGGGTCTGGAGGAAAAGTTCAGAAAGTGGCCTCACCAAGCGTGCCCAGCCTGCTTGGTAGGCACCTGAATAGAGGGCAGTGAGAGAGCGTACATGAAAGGCCTTTGAAAGCAGACCGCTCTCACGCAGAGCCCCGGAGCTTCGCTGCTGCCACTGTTAAGCTGCTGCCGCCATTGTTGGTTGGGATTACCTCCCTACCACAGACAGGGAAACTGAGGCCCAGCAAACATTCAGCAGGGCAGGGGCAGGACTCAGATCAAGCTCCCCAACTCCAAGGGCAGCAGGCCTTTCCTCCCCACCTGGCCACTCCATGACGGTAACAGCAAGCCCCTCCCCAGGCTACCAGGTCACAGAGACAGACCTAGACAGCTGATCTGCTCATAGACAGAGGAGGTGGCCAGCAGCTCAGAGAACTCTCCTGGTGCCACCACCATGCCACTCAGGCTCACCTGGCAGGAAGCAAGCAAGAGGAGACACAAGGGACCTGTACCCTTCACTCGCATCCCTCCCGTCTGCAACCTCGTGTGTCCAGAGCGACAGGGACCGCACGAGGGTGTCATTCATAGTCCAGTGGCTGTGTGTGTGCAGGTGGCCCTGCAGCCTCACCTCCCATCTCTCCTCATGACAGCACATTATGGAGGTGAAGCGGCTTAACCAGAAAACACTGAGGCAGTCACCATGCCCGGTGCAGTCTGCTCGCTGGCCCTGCCACAGGGCCCACATAGACACAGGCCCAGAAACGCTCCTGCAGATCCTGAAGGACACTGCCGGCAACGCGCGCGGTCCTCACAGTCGGTAGCGTAGGTTCCCTAGCCCTAGGATCCCTGTCTCTACGGAGCCCATCAGGCCCGCCCTTCAGGTCCCCCACCGGCTGTCGCCTCTCCATCTACTGCCTGTGATGCTCCCAGTAAGGCAGCTTCTCCCGCTCACTCACGCATCATCCGGACCCACAGAACCATCCCTCTCATCCTGGGTCCTCTCAGTCCATGTCCCACTGCCCTGAGACAGCAGGCAGAGCACATACGTGGCTCTCACATGTCTGTCCCCCAAGCACCGGGCACTCTTCCAGGCCCATGGCCATGTGCAAGAAACACATGGGGTCCATGAGTACCGACTGAGTGAGAGAATGAGCAGACTGGCGGACCTGGACTCTGGGTGCAGGGCTGGATCTGATTATGAAGCCCTGTGGTTACTGCCCCATCTCTCGGAGCACCCAAAGCTAACTGAAGAGGAGCTCAGATTGTGGTTTCTGGGCGGACCATGTGAAAAGCGAGGGAGCCCCTAGCACCAAATGTCTGTGCTGCCTGTAAATGTGGCCTAACGGGAGGGCTGGTCCCTCACGCTGGACGGTCAGGCTGCATGCAGAGCCAGGCTCTTGCCCTCTACCAAACACTTGGGCAACCTCGGACAGTGCTCTCCCCTCTGCAGCCTCTAAAACATGAGTCAGTTGGAAGCTTGCCTTCGTTGTCTGACTAGCCCTAATATCATACGATCTTGTCAACAGCTAGAAGGAAGGTTTTCTGCTGCATGCTGTGGGGAAAGATTGGCTTCATTCTGAGAGAGTCCCCGTCTCTCCCGCTCCTGTGTCAGAGGGATATGGATGTCATCTTCACTCAGAAGGAACTGGAGCAGCAGAAACAGGCGGCTGGTGAGGGAAATAGACTCTACTCCCAAAGCTAGGCTCTAGAGTATGGCAGTAGCTCTGTCCAGCACACACAACTACACCATTCCAATGCGAGGCCTTACTCAACTTTCAGGAGACAGCCCAATATCCTCACCACAGTTCACAAGACCAGGGCCATGCCCCCAACATCACCTCTCACCCCATTCCCTGAATCCCACCCAAGCTGGCACTCTCGGGTTCCTACTTTTCCCTCTCACCACAGGACCTTTGCACTTGCTGCTTGCTTTGCCAGGCACATTCCCTTCACCATTGCATTGCTTTTCTTTGTTCTGCTCAATCAATCAGGTACAGCACAAGTGTTTCTAGGCTCTATTACAGCTTCCAAGATGGTTCAGCCTCTGCTTTTGACTCTCAGAGAAATTTAGACATCTCAGGACCGAGCCCATTGATATCCTATAACTCTGTGGATATTCTTATTTGTTGTATTTCTTTTACAAGTTTCTAGGCACCTTGAGGGCAAGTCCAAACCCATCTTGTTTGGTAATGGATCCTTAGTGCCTTATACAAAACAGACATTCATTTAAATTTGTTAAGTAAATACACAACTTGTTAGTTGGCCCTATGCAAATCACTTTGCCTCCCTATCCAAAAACAAGGAGGCTAAATGGTCTGCAAAAGCCTTCATAGGAACTGCTCAGGGAGCAACATTCCACCATCAAATGCTAGCTTCGGAAGCCTGACCCACTCATTACCCTCCAGACCTCCTCCAGAACCAGGCCAAAGTGCCATCTAATTATCATTTAGAGAAAATTCAGTGCTCACCAAGGGTACCAGCTAGGAAGGTTTTGGAAAAGTTATTGCTCACAGGGTCGCTCTGACTTGCCTACCAAGATGGGAGCTCTCGGTTGGCAAAGACCACAACTGAGCTGCCCACGGTTGCCAGGTAACCAGCTGAGGACCTGACATCAATGGGAAACACTGTTCTGAGTTGAGGGTGGTACTCTGGAGACCTCATTCAGGCCCTGAGAGCCTCTTCTGGAGGTCTTGTTGGTGTTACATCTTTGGATACAGGCAGTGACATCTTGGGGACAGTGGGTCAGCTCCCCAGCCAGCACAGTCCTCCTGCTTCCTTTCCTCTCCTCCAGCCTCCAGGTCTAGCTTGTCCAATCAGACAATTCTTCATCTCCTGTCTCCTGCATCCATTTTTTAAAAGCAGAAAGCTTGACCTGACAAAAAGGCTAACAGTGGGGTTCACAGCACTGTTTATGGCAGCTGACACCTCAGGGCACATTGTGGTCTTATTTTTTACCTTAACTCTGATGGGATAACGACCCGAGACACCCTTGCATGGCCCAGAAGATTATTATACCCACCCTGTCCAAAGAGCCCTGGAAACAGTCAACACATCACCACTCCCTTGCTGGCAAAGATACAGGTACCAGGACAAAAAGCCAGAGCCCCAGGCAAGTTCTCTCAACCTTAGAGGATACTGTGATGGCCAAGAACAATGAAAGCCCAATTCAGAGCTGAACCTGGTGGGCTCTAACCGCGTCCTACCACACCCTCTACCTTCAGGAGAGGGACCGAGCCTGCCCTGCAGTGGCAGGTGTGAGTCGTGGGCCATACCTGCTCAGGCTTGATGGGTTCCGTGGTGGTGAAGATGTCTGAGTAGTGCTGTCTCTCAAACACTCGATCCAGCACCTCCAGCTGCTGCTGCGTGAACAGGTCTCCGCGCATCTGCTTCCGGAGGAAATCTCTGCCTGGAAGTGAGTGGCCGTTGGGCACCGGAGACTCCTGAATACCTTCGATGAGCATGAGAGAAGAAAGGTGGTGAAGTTTGGAAAAGCTGCTAGAGACAAATAGGTCAGAGCCTGCCACCAGGAAGAAGCCCTGGGAGACCCTCGAATCTAGCTCTTTCCTGAGGAATGGCAGAAGTCCCAGGAAGGGGCTGCCTGCCCAGCATCACCGCTAGTGACTGCTCAGCCAGCCTCCCACAGCCACCTGCCAGGCCCGGTGCAGTGCTTTCCAGGGCCATCTCATCTAATTCCCACAGTGCCCCGCCATGTATGGGCAACGGTTTGAACATGCTTTAAATTTGTCCTCCAGGAGCTCACATGTGGGAAGTTTGGTCCCAGAGTGGCAGTAGAGAGATGGTGGGACCTTTAAGAGACAGGTCCTGGTGGAATCACAAGATCGGCCCCTCCCTTCTCTCTGGCTCCCCACCTGGTGCTGTGATCCCTCCCTCTTGAACAAATGCTTCTGCCACTGTGGTGCCATCACCATGGCTTCTTCACCAGAGCTGAGTCAAAGCCAGTACCGTATCTTTGAACACCCAGAATGATGAGCTAACTAAACCTCTTTTCTTTATAAAGTTACCACCCACTTATTTCATTTCTATAACAATAAGCTGACTAATACAGAATGTTACTGTTTTTCCATTTATAGGTGATGAAATAGAGCACCGGTGACATCATGTGAGTGTTAGCACTGAAGATTAGTGCTCAGGCTAACTCAGAGGCAGTCCTCAGGTGCTACTGCCCTTCCTGTACCGAAGACCCTCCTTCTCCGTATTGCAAGTCAATAAAACACTGTGCTGGGAAGGCTGTGCAGAAGCAGACAGTCATAGGATCCCAGGGGGAGTGGCCACACACCTGTGCCAGGCAGTCTATCGAAATCTCAAGTGTGCCTGCCCGTTGATGGACAAGGACCCTTCTGGAAACGTACTGTGCAGCTACTCTTACACATGGGAAGTGATACATGTTTGAGATTCGTGGAGCAAAAGACCGGAAACAACCCAGGTTTATGTACAGAGGATTCCTTAAGTGAGCTCTGGCTTATGTGCACAATGGAGCCTCGAGAGCACAGCGACGAGAGGAAGATTCCCTCTGTGAATTAGTGTAGAAAGGTCTTCACGATACATTGTTATATGAAAAATAAGCAAGGCTACAGCACCGTGTGCATACTATATGATGCTTTGTTTAAAAAGGGAAAATAAGATTTAATATACTTATATGAATACATATAAATATAAAGTCTGATTTTTCTATTATATAACATTATTACATATTATACACAGATATGAATGAGGAACCATCACCATGGTCACCCATCTGGGAAGTGAGTGGATGGAGCTGAGGGAAAGAGACAGTTTTCATTCCATGCTCTTCTATTTGACTTTGTTTTGTTTCAACTCTTTAAATGTGTTGCCAGCTCAGAGCCTAAGAACACATTAAACAGTCTGTCTTTCGTATGGTTAGACATTCACACTGTATCTACTGGTGGTGATACTTAACGTTTCAAAGACAATGCCATGAATTATCAATTAAAAGCAAATGGGAGCAATATCTTTTGTGATTCGTGGACTTGACCTTTCAAAATGAAAACAAGCAGAGGACAAATGTTCCCCTGCCAGAAAAATGGCCTCAGGGTCCATCACCCCACAGGGCTCTCGAGGACCACACAGCTCCACAGGGCTGAGCCCGGCCCAGGGCAGGGCCCAGCAAGGGTCAGCTCCTCTACTGACCAGTCCCCTCACACAGGCCTCATTCAGCCCCTGTCCCCGCCAGACACTGCTGCCCTGAATGTCAGCTATCACGTTCAGTCCCACCTCTGTGAGGAGTGAGGCCAGACCAAAGAGCTTGGAGTATTGAGAGCCACTGAGACTCACTTATAAGCCAGTGTCCGGTCTAGGGGCAGCTTCAGTGCAGATTTGGATGTTGGGGGTTCATATGAGCACTGGACTTCCAGAGCCCCCATGGAAGCTAAAGAAGCTTCCAACATCTATGGGAAAAACCATCAGAGGTTCCTCTCAATCTCTCAGAAAACAGATTCCCATGTGAGCTGGACACAAGATTACCCTAGGCTAAACCACAGCTTAGGGAGTAATCAGATTCCCCCTCGGACACGGGTAGGGCAAGGTGGAAGCTGGACTCTGATCAATGTCCTCAGGGTAAAACCCATGTCTCTCTCCTGGTAGCCTGTGACATTGGCCTTTCTCTAGATAGGAACCTGCTTCTGTCCACAAGACATCGTCCCCAGGGCCTCTTGTTCCACATGCCCATCCTCATTGGGACCACTGGGACCAGAATGTGGAGCTCTAGCCCAGTCTGTGCAGCCAGCAGTGCTCTTCCCCTGGCCCAGTCTGAGCGTATTCTCAAAAGGTCCTATGCATTTTTGTACACACATCTGTCACATGTGCACACACACACACGCAGGAAGACAACTCAGCTTGCTTTTTCTCAATGATTGTTACACCCAGTCGTCCTGGTCTCAGTCACACCAACAAAGCTTAACTTTGGATTCAGTTTCCAGAGCTCCCAACAAGTTTCTCCCTGCCCAGCACTTCCATTTCTAAGAGACTTTTTCTTACCTACTTAATTAAACTTCCCAGCCTGCACCCTGCCAACCTAACTCTCCATGAAGACTCCTTCCTGTCAACTAGTTCCCTGGCTCCTTAGTTCTTACTGTCACCGTGCCCCTCTTTTTCCTCCCACTCAGCTGTCCCCCAAGACATCCCTCACTGTACTCTTTGAGGGAGGCCTCTACCAACCAGTCTTGTCCCTCAGAGATGGGCTGAATCCCTCTCCCCAGCAATTCACAGACTGGACTCTGAAAGGATAGAGCTTCCCTCCACTGGGGAAGCCAGAGAGAAACTCAACTCAGGATCCCTGTAGGGAAGATCACTGTCTGGTAACCGAGTGGAGCACAGAACAAAGTAAAGGCACCAGGCACAGGGTCAACCCAAGTGTATGCACAGAGGGTCTTGGAGACCTTCTCCCCCAAAGAAAACAACACACACTGCGCGCAGGCAGCCTTACTAGGACCTGTGCTTTCTTCTAGTCTTTGGGAAGAGGACTGGCGATGTTCTGCCTTGGCTTTCTGGAAGTCAGCCACAACCTCTGTTATGACTCAGATCCTAAATATCTCCCAAAAGTCTCATGTGTTTGGGTTATGGATAAGTCTACTATCAGTCGGGTAGCTGAGCATATTTGGAGGTGTGGCCTGGTCAGGAAGCGGCCACCGGTGGTCTAACTTGGAAGGGCGGATTCATGTTTCCAGTTCCTCCCTTCTCACTCTGCTTTCTGGCCGCCACACCGTGAACAGCCCTTCTCTGCCGGACAACCACAGACTGGATCCCAACAAAACTCTCCTATAGGTGGCGGGTGGCAGCAAAATGCTAATTAACACAGCCTCCGTGGGCTGAGCCCTCAAAAACACGCACGTGGATTCTGTGCCCAGCAGAGAAGTGTGAAGCATCAGCTTCCAAACTGCTTGCTTACTGGGGAGGAAGGTGACATTTACCCCACCTCTTTGAACAGAAAGATGGCTTAAGTCTACTATTTCCTTGAGAAGGCTTGAGGCCCTCCTAATCATATAATCATCAACTCACATGCTCATTAAATGTTTACTCTCTTGCAGGTAATGTATTTTAAAATCTTAAAAATAAGATAGGATGGACATGGTGGCACACATTTGGAATCCCAGTGACTTGGAAGGCTAAAGTAGGAAGATTACAATCTGAGACCATTCTAGGCAACCTTGCAGAACCTTGTCTCAAAATAAAACAAAAGAAGACATGAAAGGATGGAAGGAGTGAGGCAACTCCTGGGGAGTCTGTGGAGGCTGGCGGGGGAGAGAGGAGGGAATTTTGGGGAGCTCTGGGACAAGGGGGAGGAAACAATCATGCCCCACACGCCTCCATCCAGGGTCTGAATTTCTGATTCCCTTAGTTCAGGAGATGCTTTCCAAGCTGCGTCTGCTGGTGGAGATGAGAGACTGGCAAAGAGCGGGTTTTCCATTTTTGGTTGTTTGGCACCGGCATCAGTCTGTCAGCCACACAGGGTCCAGCGTGCCCTTAGGGAACGTAAACCAGTCCTCGCTGGCGTGGACAGACACAGCCTGCATGTGTCCTGCCTCGTCCTCCGGACGTCTTTCTCCTGCCCTGCTTGGTTCTCCTCCCATTCTCAGGGCTCTGACCACTCTCTCCCTACCTTAGGAGCAAGTACCCTGCACCTTCACACTCTGGGCTTTTCGCCACCTTCAAGGGAAAGATTGCAGGTACCTCACCTCTGTCCAGTCATCTGGCAAAGCTTATGGAATAAGTGAACACATTAGTAATACCTGTGATAACCACTTCACCACTGTGCATCTGGTCTGCACATGTCAGAATCTTTATTTGACCTCACTCACTCATTCCTCTGTCAACTGGGCATAGTGACCACTCATGCTGAGGACACAGAAACAGGTAAAAGCTGTGCATCCTTTGTCCTCATGGGATTGTTTGGCAGAGGAAACAAAAGCTACCTAAAAAATACCCAAACTCATATGGGTATGGTTATCAGTCACAAGCATCTTACAAAATGACATCTGGGTCTAAGAGGGCAGGGGCAGTGCTGACCTGGCGATGAAACAACACACAGTAGGTGCACAGTGAATAGGAGCCATGCACATAGATTCTATGCACATAGGTTCTATTCAGAGGCAGCTACAAGACTGAATACTAAAAATCATCCTGTGCACCAGGGCGGGTCTGAACCTCCAGACCTCCAGTGAAAGCTTCTGTAGCATTTCTCTGCTGCAAAGATTCTGTCTCACTTAATTGGACAATGTGGTCTTGGAGTCAGGCTACAGAAACACTCAGGCCCATTTTATTCCAGGGAGAAAAATCTAAACTCACCACGTGAATGGTATGCTTAAATATATGGACAGACACGGGCAAAAGTACTAAGGTATACAGGAGGCCCGGTATCTTTAAATCTTTTTTTTCTATGCCAAATCAAATAATATGTAATAGACCCAGTGC